CCGCGCTCGCGGCAGCGCAGCGAGGCCTGCGGGCGAAGGGCCCGACCTTCCCCTGCAATCGGGGCCTGTTTGTTGCCCTGTTCGCGTCACCCTCGTTTTCGTCGTACCAAGTCCTGGCGTCCTAAAGGGAGCGGCCTGTAGGGTCACAGAGTCAGTCACAGAATGGTTTGGGTTGGCAGGGACCTTTAAAGGTCACCTATTCCAGCCCCCTGCCCGGGCAGGGACACCTCCCACCAGAGCCCCGTCCAGCCTGGCCTTGAGCACTGCCAGGGAGGGGCGGCCACAGCTCCCCTGGGCAGCCTGGGCCCTCACCGCCCTCACACAAAGAATTTCTTCCTAATACCTAATCTAAATCTATCCTCTTTCAGTTTAAAACCACTGCCCCTTGTTACATGCCCTCGTTAGCAGCCCCTCCCCAGCTTTCCTGTAGGCCCCGTCTGAGTACTGAGAAGGCTGCCCTGAGGTGTCCCCAGAGCCTTCTCTTCCCCAGGCTGAACAGCCCCAGCTCTCTCAGCCCGTATTCACAGGAGAGGTGCTCCAGCCCTCTGGTCATCTTTGTGACCCTCCTCTGGACTCCTTCCAACAGCTCCGTGCCTTTCTTGTGCCGGGGGCTCCAGAACTGGACACAGCACTCCAGCTGGGGTCTCACGAGAGCCGAGTACAGGGGGAGAGTCGCCTCCATCGACCTGTTTGCCCCGCTTCTCTTGATGCAGCCCAGGACATGGTTGGCTTTCTGGGCTGCAGGCACACGTTGCCAGCTCGTGTAATCAACCCACACCCCAAGCCTTTCTCTTCGGGGAGGTTCTCAATCCATTCTCCCCCCAGCCTGTATCTGTGCTTGGGGTTGCACTCACCCAGGTGCAGGACCCAGCGCTTGGCCTTGTTGAACTTTGTGAGGCTGGCATGGGCTCACCTCTCCAGCCTGTCAAGGTCCCTCTGGGTGGCCTCCCTTCCCTCCAGCGTGTCAAGCACACGACACACCTTGGAGCTGTTAGCAAACTTGCTGAGGGTGCACTTGATTTCTTATGCACCGAGTGGTCCATCTGTCAAGTTCACGGCTCAACAGTTCAGGTGCAAAGGTGTCATGCGGGACAGGGTAAGTCCAGGTAGATGGCATCAGTTGCTCTTCCCTTATCCACCAACATTGTAGCTCTGACACAGAAAGTCACAGTTTGCCCTTAGTGAAGCCATATTGGCTATCACCAACCACCTGCATATTCTCCATGTGTCTTAGCAGAGCCTTCATGAGGATCTCTGCTCTATGATCTTGTTGGGCACAGAGGTGAGGCTGACTCCCCTGTAGTTATGCAGGTCTCCCTTTTTTTCCCTTTCTGAAAATGGGGTTATGTTTCCCCTTTTCCAGGCAGTGAGAACATCACTGGACTGTCAAATTTCTCAGATATAATGGATAGTGGCTTAGCAACATCATCTGCCAGTTCCCTCAGGATGCATAGATGTAGCTCATCAGGTCCCACAGACTTGTTGCACCTTCAGGTTCCTTAGATGCTCTTGAACCTGATATAACCCTACCATGCGTGGTTTTTCATTCTCCCAGTCCCTGCCTTTACCTTCTGTGACTTGGCAGTGTGGCTTGAGCACTTGCCAGTGAAGACTTAGGCAAAAGAGTAATTGAGTACCTCAGCCTTCTCCAGATCCCAGGTAACCTGGTCTTCCATTTCCTTCTGGAGAGGGCCCACCTTTTCCCTAGTCTTCCTCTTACCACCAACGTAGAAGCTATAGAAGCTTTTCTTGGTGCTCTTGGTGCCCCTGATGTCCTTAGGAGAGATGTTGCATTTTTGTGGCCCTCCTCTGGAAGTCACCTGTACAGTGTTTACAGGACTGTGGTTAAAAGTTACAAACAGAAACTATTACTTGGAAGATAAAATACGAGTTTGTTAATTTTCAGCAAAATGGTGTATTGTTTGTAGCTAAATACTATAGTTGCCTTGACTCTTGCAATTCATAATATTTTGCTGAAGCAGCAGATGTTACTGTTACAAGGTAGAAAATTTCATACAGATAAAATGAAAATAGAGGTAAACAAAATTGTCATAAACTTTGTTGACCCCCTACCATGTGATGGCTGCACTTAGTTGTTGGCTGTTCCCAGTCTTTAAAAAACAATAAAAATAATTTTTAAAAGTCCTTTTACACACTGATCACTAGTGTGTGAGCCAAATCTGTGTACTCTCCTGACCTGGACAGCCTGACTAACCCAGAGATGCCTGGTTTTGCACTGCTTGTGCAGTCTACAGTTCAGCAGGCCAAAAAGCAGATCAAGCTGTCATGAGGCAGTTTTTGTGCTAATTTCTTTTTCCTCATGTTGCTTTAGTAAGATTTGGCAAAACCTGAGTGCTGTAGATAGCTATCATCTCTATAGGCTCTAAGTGGAGCCTGAAGCTAACTTGTGAGGGAGGTAGAGTTGTGGAAATTAGGTCATTAGTCATTGCTTCCCAGAATAATCTGCATTCAGCTGATAATTTGGGAAATTTTCTTTTTTTAAAACATTGAACTCATTTTAACAAAAGGTATCCTGACTGTTTCACAGTGTTCTGGTCTAGTTTCTTGGCATTCAGGAGTCTGGAGGCCCTACAGCTGCCTTTCTTTCACATTTCTGATGTTGTCTTCTTTTTGCTAAGGATGCCAGGTTTTATGTCTTTAATTCATTATTGCACCCAGAATTGTCAGCAGGGGAGAGATTTCTTTTCCTGTTCACCCAAATTAAGCTCCTTCTGTTTTTCAGAACATATTTCTGTCACCTCACTCATTCAGCCAGACTTTAAAATTCTTCTGGACATGTATTTCTCTCTTCAATTCTTCTATTTCTTTTTACTCTTTCTGCTTGTGACTGGATGTTCAGGTCTCTCAGGCAGGGACTTGCCCCGTGGCTAGTACTTTGAAATGCCTTGTTGGGTCACATACTTCTTTGAGCTCGGTAGGGTAAGAGGAGGGGAACAATGGTCAGGCCTCAGAAGAAGCACATTCACTTTGACTGTGATTTTCTTCAGGCTTTCTGAAAAGTATCGATTACATCACGTTGTAGTGGGTGCTTCTGAGAAACAGGTCTGAAGCAGAATTTGAATATGTGTGTGGAATGCCTACATGGAGGCTTGCTCAAAAGGTTAATGTTTCCAAAGTAACAGGAAAATAGAATACGTGCTATTACATCAAGAAGGGCTGCTTGTAAAGGGATGTTCTGAGTTCTGTGCTGGGTTTTCTCTTGTTGTGCTAGACGTGTAGGATTTGTTTTGCCTACTTTCTGTTGCGGCTGTTGATGTTAAAACCCTTTCCAGCATCTTAAGTGTGCATGTGATATATGAATCATAGAACACACTGAATTATTGAAGCTGGAAAAGGCCTCTGAGATCATCAAGTCCAACCTATGACCTAACACCACCACATTGGCTAGACCATAGCACTAAGTGCCACATCCAGTCTGTACTTAAACATCTCCAGGGATGGTGACTCCACCGCTTTTCTGGGAAGTGCCAATGCCTGATCACCCTCTCCATGATGAAGTGCTTCCTAATATCCAGCCTAAACCTCGCTTGGCGCAGCTTCAGGCCATGCCCTCTTTTCCTGTCACTAGTTGCCTGGGAGAAGAGCCTGACCTCACCTGACTGCAACCTTCCTTCAGGTAGTTGTAGAGAGTGATAACTTCCCCCCTGAATCTCATCTTCTCCAGGCTGAACAACCCCATCTCCCTCAGCCTCTCCCTATAAGACTTTCCCTCTACTCCCTTCATTAGCCTTGTTTCTCTCCTCTGGACCCATTCCAGCACCTCAGTATCTTTCTTGAAGTGAGGGGCCCAGGACTGTACAACAGTTGTCAAGCAGTACTCCCAGGTCCCTCTCTGCAAGGGTGCTCTCCAACCACTCTTCCCCCAGCCTGTCGTGCTCCATGGGGTTGTTGTGGCCAAAGTACAGGACACTTCACTTGGTCTTGTTGAACCTCATACCCAGGCCAATGTCCAGGTTCCTCTGCAGCTTCTTCCTACCCTCCAGCAGATCAACATTCCCCCCAGCTTGGTTTTGTCCGCAAATTTACTAAGGGTAGACTCCATCTCCTCACCCAAGTTGTCAATAAAGATATTGAATAGGACGGAGATGAATACTGATCCCTGGGGGACACTACTGGTAAACTGGACACCAACTGGGCACAGCTCCATTCACTACCACTCTCTGGGCCCAGTTATCCAGTCAGTTTTTAAGCCAGTGAAGGGTGCACCTGTCCAAGCCATGGGCTGCCAGCTTTTCCAGGAGGATACTGTGGAACACTGTGTCAAAGGCTTTGCTGAAGTCTAGGTAGACCACATCCACAGCCTTCCCCTCATCCACTAGGTGGGTCACCCAGTCATAGAAGGAGATGAGATTGGTCAGGCAGGATCTTCCTTTCTTAAACCCATGTTGGCTGATCCCCTGGTTGTCTTCTACATGCTGCTTGATGGCACTCAGGATGATCTGCTCCATAACTTTGCCAGGCACCGAGGTCAGGCTGACAGACCTGTAGTTCCCTGGATCCTCCTTCTGGCCCTTCTTGTGGATGGGCTTCACACTGGCCAACCTCCAGTCATTTGGGACCTCCCCAGTCAGCCAGGACTGGTGATAAATGATTGAGAGCAGCTTAGCCAGTTCTTCCACCAGCTCCCTCAGCACTCTAGGATGAATC